TCCCTTCTTTTTTTTTTCTTTTTTGCAAACTATATGACAACAATTTAGAACAGAAAAAAAATGTAATGATAAGATAACACTGAGAAAAGGATATCTGCCGGCATCAAAGTAGAAAGATAGTCTCCTTTGCGATGCCACACTACTGAAGACACAGTCTGCAAAAACCACAGCCAAGAAAATGGTTATCGTATTCCTATAAAGCCTTTCAACCGGTCCTCAGTTTCAACATTATTAGATAATTCTGATTACAAATAACTAAAGAGGGGAGAACAGAAACCACATACCCTATAATGCCTTAGCCTGATGCAGTCATACTCTTCATCTTGAAGCCAGCTTAAGTAAGATGCCATATCATCTGAGCATTAAAGTGACATTTTCCAGAGTCAGATCATATCCTTTATTCAATACATTGGAAATAATATATGTTTCAAACTGACCAGAATCAGTAGAGGTTGGTGTTCTAATTTGCAGAAGTTTCTTAATTTCATTCTGTTCTTCCTCATTCCCAAATCCAGTGTTCAAAATAAGAACATCAGCCCCCCTGTCAAACATTAGAGTCTTAGAGTAGAACACGTCCAAAAACAATAGGTCGGCAAACTATGTCATTTGAAGAAAACAGGCAGTGGAAAAAAGAAGATGCGAAAAGCAGATTGAAACTAATTAATATCAAATCAGCCTTACGCTGAAACTGCCAGAATAGGAAGCGCTGGCAAAGGATTCCATGCAACATGCTGAACTGCTTCACCAATCTCCCAAACTCTAAGACATCTGCCAGTCTCCACCTCCCAAACACGCACAGTTCCATCCTTAGAACCTTTGCAAACATAAGCAATTATCAAACTCTAAAGTACTGATTTTATAGAACAAAATCATCCTATACTTTGACCACAAATTGTAGTTTATAGGAAAAATGTTCATACCAGAAGCAATCCATTGCCCTGCAGGTTCCACTGATATTGACAAAACTGCACCCTCGTGACCTTTATACTCCAGATAGCATGCAAATGGATAAGGTCTAAGGTCCTTTTTATTAGGTAGCTTAGGCTTGAGGGATTCAGGGTCGATATTAATCTGAAGAATGGAAAAGGGCAATTTAGATTAATTTGTCTGTGAGGAGAAATGGCATAAAGGACATTATGCCAGAAACCATTAAGATTTTCTTCTAACAGAATTTCAGACTTACACGTTTCTTCCTCACTCTAGGACACAAGTATAGATCCAAGCATCGTTCAAAAGAGTCCTTGATAGCATTCTCATATGCTGGGATGCTTCTAAAGGATGTGAACCTAAGTATATCAACAGGATTATTGAATAGTATGTTAGATCTTCAACTCTCAAACATAAAAGCAAGTAAAAGAGCAGGTACTTTCAAGTGAAATTGTAATTAACAAACCATGTGTTAGTATATTACCTTTTAGGTATAAACTTAGGGCGATCTTCTTCATACATCATCTGGTACGAGGTGATCTCTTCTTGTGTTGGTATGTATTCTAAAGATGGATTATATGATTCCTCGTGACCTAAAAATCAATAAGGACAAAGCTTTCATAATAGTTCAAATAGCATCGCAGAATGTAAGTTTAAATAACATGGCCCAAAGACAAACCTGGCAATTTAGGTTTCGGGGGAGGAATGTAAGCCAAATGCTTAGTCCTATCTGCTGAGCTTGAATCATCACCCCAGAGGGAATAAAAACGAGGTTCTTCTTTTGGCTGGTCAAACTTTATTAATCCTTTACGAATTGCCCTAACATACTCAACAACCTGTAGATTAAAAAGTCTAATGTTATGAAAAACAGAAGATTCACCTTTATGGCCAATTTATTACTTCAAAGAGGGAAAAAAGTAGGTGCAGAGGGAGTTAGAGAGGTAAGGATCTCATCCATCATCTGAAAACTATACATGTAAAGGTTTACCTTTTTGCTTTCCCATTTTGAAGGAATAAACCTCCTTTTTGGTTCAGGAGCATTAGATAAAGGATGTTTTGCATCATCCCACTTAAACCAATCAACATAAGGCTGCAAGAAATGGCTATGAATTTAACCTTGAGCATAAAGTCAAAACAATATCTAGGCCAAATATGATCAGTGTGAATGAACATGAGAACTAATGGGAGTTGCAAACCGCATAAGGATCAAATTCAGCATGTGGTGCCTTCCCTTTGAGCAATCTACCAATCTGTTTGATCTCATTTTTAGTCAGCTCAACTTCCTCGTCATTATATTCATCATAAATCTTGCGCCTGAAGATAACAACATTCAACAAAGTGTACATGAATGTATGATGTAATGTGCCATCAGAGTTAATTTGTACTCGGATAACATCATTTAACTAATAATATTGAAAAAAACAACAAAAAAATTGTCCAGTAACATTCATTGTGTGAAACAGAATTGTTCCAACTGTAGCAACTTAGCTTCCATGTACTTATTGGAAAAAAGAAACCAAGACAAAAATGATACAAAAAAGAAGAGGCCCATTATTGAGCTAGATAGTCATGTGAAATAGAAAATAAAAGCCTAAATAGCAATGCAACTATTATAGTCAAGCTTCCCAAACATAGCAGAAGAAGAAGAGAGAAAAGAAATAACTAAACATAAATTATTATTAACATAAAAACTAAATAATCAGTAGCAGAAAAACTAACCAACTCTTTGAATCATCAGCACTTGCAAGAAAAGAATCCAGTTTATCTTGTCTTTCTTTCTTTGTTATCTTTCTCCCAGCAATGTCATACCCAATATGTTTTTCATCCTTGTACCACTCCAATGGAACATCACCAATTGTATTTCGAGGAGCTACCTTTTAAGCCGAAAAAGATATGTAAGAACTTAAATGGAATATTTATTTCTCAAATACTAGAAGGGATCTGACCTCATCTTCTGATGAATCACTCTCATCAACATCTTGATGGGATTGGGAACTTTCACTATGCTCGTCTTGATCATCATTCTCATCCAAGACATTATTATCTCCTCTCTCAACAAAATCCTGATATTGTTAACTCTTAATTAAATATTTGTAATAATACATAAAAATTCATTGTCAAAGCAGAAAATATGATAATGTTTTCAAGCACGCTGAGAAGCAAAGCAATGATGGCATAAATTTCTGTATTCTTGATATGGGAAGGAATTCTTCTGGGTTCACTTGTATACGTCAGCTTTTTTTAAAAACTAGTGTTTCAATTTATTTTAGTTGGATAACTCAAGAGCATCACATCCTAAAACCAAAATGGAAAAAGAACAATTACCTCATCCCTTGTCTCCAAAGTGTTTATTTTATCCAGCTTCTGACCCTCCTGATGATCCATGGTCAGACTTGGAGTCATAAACCTTGGGGATTTCCTGGAACTGCAAGTTTAAAAAAAGTTCAAGCTTGATATAGATGGTGATTTTTCAAGAAAAAATGAACCACCAAAAAAACATCGTGCATTTGATACAACATGAACAATATATGGAAATAACAACACTCTTGTTTCAACAAACAATGCTTGCTCAATAACCTACTGCCTTACTAATCCAAACAATGCACAAAGTTAGTAAGTAAAATAGATGAATGCCCTTCATAGTGATAGTAGTTAAAATCTGAAAACTTTCTTCTAGAAATCGGCTTCCCTAATTCTGATTCAAAAGCTAGGAAGTGAAACCAGAATTTTGCTTCTCTTTTTAGGCTAAGCCAATAAAGAATATTTTATCATCAAAGAAACAGAAAAATAAAGCTAGGACATGCCATCACTTAACAGAAGCATAGCAGACCTCAACAAAGAAACCAAAAGCAGACTCAAGAAGACTAGGAACCTGATTAAGTTTACTCCACCAAAACCAGCCTTAAGAAAAAAAGACCATACAAACTAGCAGCTCAAAACAATTGGGAACTTGGAACTCAATTAAATTAGTCTCAGTGTCAGGGTAATATCTTCTAGATGTATAAATCAGGCGGCGTAATTGTTTTGTGGGAGGGGTTGTAGGAGAATTATTGTCAGATTGAAATTATAGGTGAGCTGATTTCATTAAAGCAAACTTCAACATAATGCACGAATATCTGTCACCAGTCAACGCTGTTCAAACAGACATAAGATATACTTTCCAGTTACTACAAAGCTAACACGGGAAACATATCTTCTGAAGCAAAAGAAAAATAATGACAAGTACCTACATCAATCTTAGTTTTTTCATGCTCCAGGGCAAGTTTCTCTACAACAAACAAAGGAACTGAAACTAACTATCCCTTTTACCATTAAACTCTAAGATGTTGAAAATGATTTAAATAAAAAATGAAATTATTAAAAAATTGATAAACGAAGAAAAATTAGAGCATATTGAACAACTAATGAAGGGAAGCACAGAAGATAAGAGAAGAGAAAGAGAAAAACCTGAGAAACTAATTGCGGCGACGGCGTCAGGGAAGCTGAGTAGAGAAAGAGTCTGCGACGGCAAGGGAGGAAGGCGAAGTTGACTAACAGGTTGCTAGCGAGGGGAGAGAGAATAGTGTACGTGCTTGGGCGAGGGAGATAGGGCCTTAAAACCCTACTTTGTCTTACTTTTACGGCTGCTTTTGACAAGGGACAAGCTGATATATTTGATTAAAAAAATCTCTTATTTTATTTTAAAAAATAATCACAAATAATTTTATTAATAAAAATATATAATAAATATTTACAATTTCAAAAAATTAAATTAATTTATATCAGTAAAAAATTAAAGTGAAGTAAAAAAAATGGGCTAATGAATAAACTTTATACATAAATAAAAATAGTTTTTGGAAGACTTTTAAATTCACCATTTAAGATTTAAATTAAGAATATTAGTATTAATGTATTATATTTTGTTAATCGGTCGAATTAAATGTATTCCGTTACACATTTTAATCCTTAATGAAATTCAAATTCACAGATCAAGTTGAGAAAATTTGCAAAATTCCGAGATTAATGTGGATAAAAAAAGCTCAAGCATCAAGTTGGAAAAATTAACAAGTTTAGGGATCAGATCGGAAAAAGATGCCAAATTTAGGGTGCTCTATAGCAACATAGAACATGCTTCAATTGGAAAAAATACATAAAGTTTATCCAGGTTTCAAGAATTTTAAGTGCCCCAAGAGGCATCAAACGCCAAGGTTGCATACAGTAGGTGGTTCCATGTATCAGGCACACCAGGCAAACACCAGTGACTGCAGTCAGGGCCAGCCTTGAATTGCTTCTTCTTCCAATAAATCGAAGAATGTGCATCTTTTCTCAACTCTGTCAGCCTCGTGATGTTCAAGTACCTCACAGGTCTCCTCATGCCTCGGATCGTCCTCTCAACAATGCCTTTGATAATTGATTCACTCTTTTTCAATTTCAAAGTCTCGTCATTCTTGATCGGTTTAGTTGCCCTGTAACACTTCTGTCTCCCCGAATGTGACGGAGACATGCCCCTGAAGAACACCGTTGTCCTGCTCGTGTCCACGTTTTTCTCAATCCAACGACCCCATGTTCGCATCGCCAGCTTAAATGCTCTATCGAGCTTCATATCGGTATACAGTTTTTGCTTGAACAGAAACCAGTCCCACCTGCAATGCCACAAACATCCACCCATTAGGCTGCAAAAGGCTATTACTTTTATCGATTTTATCAAATTGTTCCTTACCTCTGGCGGTTCATCCACCAGTGACCGGTGTTGAATACTATAATATCAGCACCTTTCGATTTCGACACGGCTGGGGAAAGAGCGTCGAGGTTCAATATCTTTGTCCCGCTAGTCTTGTTCAATAGCACCTCCACCAGAAATTCCGCCCACAGGGACTCTACCATCAAGTTATATGACTGCAACATCGAAATATGACCCTTTTCGTTAAGTGGAACTATGAATCACGATCAACAACTTCACCGCTATGTACCTTGGAGGTGAAGATCCGATTTCGAACATCGACTTGGGATTCATGAGGTATAGCAGAATGTAGAAGACAAGCCAGAGATTCCCATTGGCCAAAACCAATGGAGTCTCCCACTAGTACAACTCTTTTACCTCTAAGTCTCTCCAACAAATCCTTGGCATCAAACCTTAACAGCAAATTCAAAGGGCTTGTTTAAAATCCTCCAAAGTGTGAAATGCAAAGAAAATAAAAGCATTGCAGAAAATTGCTTGCTTACCTGGGAATCTTACATTCATTGACTTCCCATCTCCATCTTTCATATTCCTTATCCTGTCGTCCATTCCCTTGGCAGCTTGCTCTATCACTTAAAAATGGACACATGGCTGAATCATACAGTGGACTCTCTTTTGGATCATAAACCCATTTCCCTTCAAACACATTGCATCTTTCTTCTATTTTGATTGGTTTCACATTATCAAAATTGTTCGATGGTTCTGCGTTTTTCAAGCCTGCAGACAAAGGATCCGAAGAAGAAGAAGAAGAAGTAGCAGGTTTCTCAGTATAAGTGAGGTTTAACGGCATACAAGGTTTCAACTCTGAGTTAGGAAACAGATGAGAAGATTCTGATGGTTCCTTTTTATTTGGAGATTGCATGTCCGGCATGTTCTGAAGCACTGATATGTCATAGTCATCGCTATTGTTACCGAAGACAAAGAGAAGGACGAGGACGAAGCCGGCAAAGCCGAGAAGCCACCACCATCTACGAATGATGGCCGGGTAGGATGCCATGACTCACAGTGAAGAACTCGGCTAGAAGTTTGTTATTGACGCTAGGCTAAGATAACACCTCGTACCTCTCTCAAAATGAGTATTAGTCCATATTGTACTACTAAAGTGCGGTTTTAACACAGTGCAACGATTACATAATAATACTTTTTAAAGTCATTTTAACATCTTAACCGGATTCACAATATAAAAACATAGTTATAATTAAGAAATAAATCATGCCATAACATACACAACATTAATAATCACGTTCGCAACCACAGTTTAGTACTATGGTCCATATAACATATTTCATTTCAAGTGAGCTTAAACACTAATATTCTGTTTAAGTTAATAAATTAGATGGAGTCGGGGATTAAAGCTAGATTAAGAATTAGAAACGTGAAAAAATTGGGATAACTAAAGTGTGGTGCACAGAGATAGATCGTGTATGTATGTACAAGAAGGTGTGGTCCCAACCCCCAAGGGATTAGATGGTTGGATGTCTATGGGATATTTATCAACTTGCAAACCCCATTTAACAAAATGAATTTAATTTTAGGATGTGGATGGAATGTGATAATTTAGTTGTTATCCATAATTTCATACTAAACTAGAATCAATTAGAAATATTTCATCATGTGGCCAACTTTATTTTCCTATCAATTTATAAATAAAAACTCAGTTTTCAATAAATTTGACAAATAATAATTATAAATGAAAAAAAAATAATATCAGATTTTTTGCTGCTTCTGCAATATACCATAAAACACAACCCCTAAGAAATAGACAACTCTCAAGGCTGCCTTAATAAATTGGAATTAATACTGTGAAGCTAGAACTGAAAACCAACCCAATTTTAGCATGAGCTGCTGGAATTCAAAGGGTTTATCAGCAGCTTCCAATAAATAATGATTGATTTTCTGACCAAAGCAAATTGATGAATTTACCTGAAACAATGACAAGTTTATGTAGTAGAAATGGCCTTGGAGGAGCTGTCTAAGACTAAAGATGCATAGAGTAAGTGGTTCCATGTGTCAGGAACACCAGGCAGACACCAGTGGCTGCAATCTGCCACCATTGCTGGGGGTTTCTGCTTGGTTGCAATCAGAAGCTTCCCTTGCTTTGTCCCCTAAATGGACGAATGAGCGTCGGGTCGATACTCGCTCAGTCTCGTGATGTTCAAGTACTTCACCGGTGTCCTCATGCGTTCGAGCGTTTTCTCCGCGATTTCTTTCAATGATTTATCGAAATTCACTAGGTACGGCTTGTCCATGGCGGGCCTGGTTGATTTGTAGCACCAGTTTTTCCCGAAATGCGGCGGGGACATGCCCCTTGTCGTAACCGGTTTTCATCCGGACACGAAATATTTATTTGGCGGGAAAAGTGATGTGAATAAATGGTTTTTAAAATAATTTGGGAGTCGCCATCGGCCTTTTGGGTCAGGTAAGTCGAATACCTAAAAATCATCATTTAAAAGAGTTTTTAAGAAAACATCGATTAAAAGATAAACTGATCTGCGTTTCAACCAAAAATTCGTTTTTTTTAATAATAAAAAGTGATTCGTGGTCGGTTACGTTTAGGGAAGGATTAACACCCCTACAACGCCCAAAATTAGTACTTTTTAATTATAAATTGTCTCTATTATTAAAAATTAAAAATTAAAAATATATTTAATTTATAATCCTATTATTTTAAAATTATAATTATGAAAAATATATATTAATGAAATATTTATTTAGAAATATCAGAAAAGGACTTCTAGGTGCCTTAAGACAGCTCTTTTCTTTGATATTAAAAAATAAATAATTAAAACAATTAATATATAATTTATAAAATAAGATATTTATTTATTTAAAAATATTAGAAAATGGACATCCAGTTGTTTTAAGACTGCCCTTTCTTAATATTGAAAAATAAATAAATATTAAAACAAGATTAAAATAAGTTAAAAGTAATTAAATAAGATTTTAATAAATAAAATAAATATTATAAATATATATATTTATGGCTAAATAATAATAATAATAGTAATAATAATTAAAAGTAAACATATAAAATTAACATATAATGAACAAAATTAAAACTATATATTTAAAATAAATAAAACTTATAAAAATTGAAAATAGTGACTAAATTATAACTTAATAGAATTAAATACCTAATTCGTAATTAATTATTTAAAATTACAGGGATTAAACATGTTATTTTATCCATTTATTAATTTGGTGACTAAAATAAAATTATATAAAATTCATATATCAAATTAAAATAAATTGAAATATGCTGTTCGGGGTTTAAAATATTAATTATTAAAATTAAAGGACTAAATATGATATTTATCCTAAATATATTATTTAATAGAAAGGACTAAAATAAATAAAATTAAAATTAAAGAACCGAATTAAAAGGATTATAAATTGATTTAGTGACTAAAATGTAAGGATTACAAATTAGGATGGCTGCGGAAAGGGTTTAACTTTAATTAATTACAGACATACCCCTCCCCAAAACGGCGTCGTTCGGGGAGGGGTATTTAAGCCCCAAAACGGCTGGCCCGAAGGGCCAGCTCTCATTTATTCTTTCCTTCTTTCTCTCTAAAAGCCGAGAGAGAAAAATTCTCTCTAGCTTCTCTCTAGCTTCCCTTACCGGAGGGAAGCCGATCATCGGCAGGCAGCCGTATACCGCCTCCATCCCCGCCGCCGGCCACCATCTCTGGTGGCCGGAAAGTTTCGTTTTACATGAAAATAAAGGCCTTCTCTTCCTAAGGCCAAATCTGGCTTTAGTTTACCCTAATAAACTCCTAATCGGAGTAAATCTAAGAAAATACCTTCGGTATTTTCTGTTCTCCGGCGATGTTTGGCTTCCGGCGATGATCGAGGCTTCAAGGGTAAGTTTCCTTTCTTCTCTCTTTTTTTAGTTTCTTTTGTTGCTTCCTCCTTGTCTCTTCCTTTGTAGGTGGGTCGAGGCTTTTATAGCCTCGACGAGATGCGCCTCGGACCGGTCGCAAGAGTGAAGGCCAGTGAGTCACCAAACCTATGGTGGTGACTCACAAAAAACAAGCGACGTGTGCAGCTGTAATGGATCTTCTGGAAACTTTGACGGGGCATCGTGGCAGCGGCGGAGCGAAGTGGAGCAGCTGGAAGTAGAAACGTCGCCGTGTGGTCCCTAGGGTATCATCACCCTAGGGTTTGTGCTGGATGCGTGTGGGCCGTTGGATCTCTCAGATCCAACGGCTGTGATGCTGAGGCGGCTGGATGATGATATAGAAACCCTAAATTGATTTTAGGGTTTCTTGATGGGTTTGGGCTTGGTCTCTTGTAACTGGGCTCGTCTGGGTTGGGCCGAACTTGGCCTATTTGTAATAATAATAATTTTAATAATAATAAATAAAATAATAATAATAATAATAATATAAAATAATAATAATTGTAGACACCCGTTTTTGTCCGGGTCTAAAAAACATTTTATCGTATAATTATTTATTTATTATTATTATTATTATTATTATTATTAATATTTTTTTAATTTTGTAGGCCACATTTTCAACCCACCATTATCTCAAACACCCAACAACCTCCACTACTCTCACTTTCATCACCCACTTCGCACGTTTTCTTCCTTTTTTCTCTCAAAAGGAAAGTGGAAAGCTTCATCAGATAGGGGCCTTGCTATTTATTTAAATAAACTTGAGATTGACAGAAGGGGAAGAAGAAAATCACAAAAGGAAAAACACAAAAGGGGAGAAACAAAGAGTTTAGCGGTGGGGGGTTGTGGACACGTAAAAAGATGAAATAAATCTCTCTCCCGACGCAGAGAGATTGGCACTGAGACCAGCCTCCAGTTTTTTCTTCATCAACAATTCTCAAATCCAGTCAGAGGTTAAGGAGACGGCGTTGATTGCCTGTCCGCCTTGACTGACCATCCGACATCGTCTTGGCCCTCATTTTTTATTCTTTTACACGTTACCTCTTTGTCAATAACCAGTAGAAACGGTAGTGAAACCTACTACGATGCGAAGCTATGTTAACTCTTAGACGAGTACACTCAGATCCTAATCGTCACCGCCGATAACGTGGGTTCTAACCGACTCCAGAACATTCGCAAGGGTTTCTGAGGTGGCTTGATTGTTCTCATAGGGAAAAGTTCTCAACTTCTTACTATTTTTCAGGATGGAAAGTGTTGATGGGACCAAATATGGTGCTTACACCTATGATGCCTTGGAGAGGGAGCCTTATTGTCCTCGGAGAAACTCCGCTTTTCCATCACTGGTGCCGGTGGGTTCATTGCTTCCCACATTGCTCGACGTCTCAAGAGTGAAGGCCATTACATCATTGCTTCTGGCTGGAAGTTAAACATTGATGGGGCTCAAAGCTCAAGGACTGGAATGGCATCAGCGGGAGACTTGATTAGAGATGAAAATGGTATCTGGGTTCACGGTTTCATGTTGAATATTGATGGAATTTGGGGTATTCGGCAAAGGCTTAGCATCGCTATAGGCTTTGGATTACGCAACCTCATTCTCGAATCAGACGCGAAATGGGCAGTGGATGTCGAGAACAAGGAGAGAAATGAAGTCAATAAATGAGATGCTTAATTACATGCGGATTATCAAGTTCCAGGTATGTGAAGAGCACTTCAATGAAAGAATTCAATATCATTTCGTGACATAGACTTTGGGTAAATTCAACATTTGGTCCTTCATTTATTATGGGTCCTCTTTTATTTTCATTTATGTTATTACTTTTAAATTTTTATTTTATTTATTTATTTTAGTTCATCTCTTTTGTTTATTTAATATTTATTTAACATCTCTTATCTAACATTTTTTTTCTTTTTAGAGGATTTTTTTTATATTGATCAAAGATAAATGATTTGAATTTAATTTTTAAATTTTAATTTTCGCAATTAAGATAACCGACAAATTAATTGGTACCGAAAGGGCAGTTCAAGGGTGCTAACCCTTCCTTGACTGTAACCGACTCCCGAACCCGACACATTCCTGGTAAAACGCAGATCAAGTAAGATGGTGTCCGATCTACCTAAATATCGTTTTAAAATGATCGGTGGCGACTCCAATTCACATTTTTCAAGTCGAAGCCCAATTTTGGGGCCCAACCGAAA